AGAATGGTACTGTGATGTAGATTCCTTTATTTTTTTACTTTTAAAAGCTCAACATAGAGGTTTAATCTCCATCAACTCGTCCATGTATAGTCATCTGCCATATAACACGTTTCTGTCATCTGCAGGCCATATACACGATGGTGGTCCCATGAGATTAGCACCATACAGCCTAGGTGTGAAGTAGACTTTGCCATCTAGGTTTGTGTAAGTCACTCTATGATGTTCGCACAACGATGAAATTGCCTAATGATTCATTTCTCAGAATGCATCTCCATCATTAAGTGACACACGACTGTGTATCTACTTCATTGCTTTTGACCTTTGCAGAGAGTTAGAGGGTTTGTATCGACCAAGTTTTCTTTATCGATTTCCTGGGTCTGTTTGCACGTCCATCTAGACGGCTCAAAGGCTCCGTTGCCATGTGCAATGTTGCAGCTCGGACCGTGGGGATGTCCTCTTACAGGTGGGGTGAGTATGCAGCTGAGGGGAGGGCGAGGGCCCCCCAGAGCTCTCCAGTCGCCTGGGCACATGCCACTGGCTGTGAGTGCGGGCCCCCATCTCCCCACGAGCTGCCCTCTACCCCTTGGGGTTGTCCGCGGTCCCAGCGCCCACCGACGCAGCAGGGGTCAAGCGGTCTCTCACTCCTTTCTGGTTGTATTTCTTAGCTTGCAGAATTTGCAAATCTACCAAATCCAGGGAAAGCTATCCATGAGTTGGAGCATTGGTTCAAACTTTTATTGTCTGCTTGGATTTTTCTCTTCTGTGGATTGCCGAGTCCCACCCTTTGCCCACTTGCTGTTAAGCTTTCCGTGTTTTCCTGTTCATTTCTTTCATTCATTCACTCATTCATTTGTTCCACAAGTGCTCACTGAGCATCACAGTGGACTGGCGTGCTGGGATTCAGCAGTGAACAACACACACAGTCCCTGCTTTCGTGGAGCCAGCATTCCAGCTGGCGGCAGACAATCCACAGAGACAGATAGAGGCGATATTGGGGGTGATGAGAGCTAGGAGGAACAGGTGGAGCAGGACACGGACAGAGGGATGTGGGAGGCATGATGTGGTCAGGGACGGCCTCTCTGCCTCAGAGAGATGCAGCAAAGACCGAACGCAGTGAGGGAGCAAGTCATGCAAGGAGCTGTGGCCCAGGCAGCAGGATTGGCGTGTGCAAAGGCCCTGAGGTGGGAGTGAGTCTGTGTCGCACTTAGAACAGCATGTGGGCCAGTGTGGCCAGAGTGGGGTGATGAGGGGGACAGTGGGGGAAGGATGATGGCACAGAGATGGTAGCAGGTCATGCAGGCAAAGATTCAGAAAAACCTTTACATTTCCTTCTGTGATGAGAGGCCACTGAGGGTTATTTTTTTTTACTGTGCTAAAATACATATAACATAAAACTTACCGTCTTAGCCATGTTTAAGTGCACAGTTCAGTGGCATTAAGTGCATTCACATTGTCTTGCAACACTCACCAACATTTATCTCCAGAACTGTTTCCTTTTCCCAAACTGAAACTCTGGCCCATTGACCCTGACTCTCCATGCCCCTCCCCCAGCCCCTGGCGCCCACCATCCTACTGTCCGTCTCTGGGAATCTGACTCTTCTAGGGACCCCATAAAAGCAGAATCACAGAGTATTTGTCTTTTGGGGACTGGCTGTTTTCACTCAGCATGTCCTCAAGCTTCCTCCGTGTTGTAGCGTGTGTCAGAATTTCCCGTGTCTTTAAGGCTGAGTAATATTCCATTGTATGGATGGACCACATCTTGCTTCTCTATTCATCCATCAATGGACTCTCGGCTTGCTTCCCCCTTTGGGTTGTTGTGAATAATGCTGCTGTGAACATGGGTGTGCAAATGTCTGTCTGAGTCCTGCTTTCCCTTCTTCGGGGTCTATACCCAGAAGTAGAATTTGCTGGACCACATGGGAATTCTATGTTAAGCTTTCTGAGGAAACCCCAAACTGATTTCCACAGCGGCTGCACCTTTTTACATTCCCACTCACAATGCACAAAGCTTCTAATTTTTCCACATTCTCACCGCACTTACTGTTTCCTGTTTTTTTGATAATGACCATCCTGATGGGTGTGAGGTGGTGTCGCACTGTGGTTCCGCTGAGGGTTGTAAGCCAAGAAGTGCAATGACGGCCCTTGTGTTTCAAAGGTCACTCTGGCTGCTGGCTGGAAGCAGGGACATCCGGGGCGGGGGGAGGCTGCTGCAACCCCAGGAGAGAGGGGACGCTGGGGCTGCCTCGGGGACAGCACCAGCCTGGGGAGACGGGGCTGGATTCTGGATATTGTTTGAAGGTAGAATCAACAAGATTTGCCAATATTTTATTTTTTTACTTTTTTTTATTTTATAATTTTTTTTTTTTTTTTTTAAGATTTAATTTTTTCCCTTTTCTCCCCAAAGCCCCCCGGTACATAGTTGTATATTCTTCGTTGTGGGTCCTTAGAATTCAGCAGAGAGAAGTCAAGAATTACTTTAGCAGCATTGTCACTTACTGGGACAGAAATGAAGAGCTTGATTGGGGGCATGTTAATCCCTCTTGGAAGGAGTTTTCAGCATGTTCTTGACCTCATTCCTTTTGCGTGACGGCCTTCGAAGCCACGTGCACCTACAAAGGTGGGAACATTCTCGTCTCCTGTGAGGCTGCCCTCACCCTTTATAAACGAAACGTCTCTTCGATCCCTCTGTTGATTTTGCTTGAATTTGACGTATGTGTCATCCGCTTCTTTCGTTCTCATTTTTCTGGTGTACCCTTTTCCGTCACCTTGCTTTCGAATTTCCTGTGTCATTTCGTGCTACGTGTCTCATTTGTTGCTATTTTCCCCTTAGTTACCCTTAAGTTTTTAAGAACAGTTTCTTAAAGTTTGCTGCATGTGGAACAAAATTCAGAATATGAAAGAGGGTATAGGCTCTTCTGCATCAGATTCCTCTGGTGCCCCTTGTCCGCTCACAAGCAATAAATATGTCTCATAAAGGTTTACTGCCGTAAGCGCATCCTGATTTACACATTCCGTTGCCACCTGCAAAGCGAACCTTGACATCAGCAAGAGGAGGGACGCCCGTGTGGTTTCCAGACCACAGACCAGCCATCTCAGCTCCATTGTATCGGGTGAGTAGCTAAGGGAAAGACCACGGCAGCATCCTTTGCAAACATTTCCAAATTTATTGAAATAACGATACTTGCTTTCGGGTCAGAAAAAAATTAGAAACCTCCGATGACTGAAAAACAAACCAATGTTTGCCGCCTGCAATGACATTCCACCAATAAGAATATGACTTTGGAATATGTCAGGGGCTGCTCGGAGCGTCTTTACCCGCCTGAATTACGGGGACAGGCGGCGGGTTTGGGGCAGACGGCACAGCTGGTGGTCCATGCTGAGGAGAGTGAGCAGACCCTGGAAGGCTCAGGTTGGGTGTGTAGGATGCGGTGGCCTGATACCCTTAAATTCGAAGCACACACATCTAAACTCATCATTTCCTATCGACATCTGGAGTTAATTTATATTCATATATTCTGCAATTTCACTTTCCTCCTCATTCCCGCCTCTAACCCCCTCCCCATTTTGAAATCACCTGAGATTTTTTTGTTCCACATAGTTATTAATTTTTTAAAAATTCTGTATTAACGTTGATTTAGATTTAACCGTACATTTGGTCTAGCTTCTTCACTCTCCACTGTTTCTTTGTCTTGGCTTGTCCGTTTATTCATCTCACAGATAATCTGCGATTCTCTTTTTTAGAAAGCGCACAAGGGTGGTTAATTTTCTGAGTCTTTGCCTGTCACCAAATTATTGTTTTCCCAACATTGCAAGCCCCGTTGCACGAGGTCTGGCATTTTAGGTTCAGAATAATCTTTCCGCTCATCTTCGTGGCTTTGTGCCCTTACCTTCGAGCCCCAGTTTTGCAGGTGAGAATTCTGATGCCAATCGGAGCCTCTTTCTTTTATGTAGGGTTGCTAGATTTAGCAAATAAAAACCCATGCAGGATTTGGAAGACGCTTATCCTAAAAAGTCATTTGCGGTATTTCTGAAATTCAAGTTAAACGGGCATCCCGAATTTTTTCTGGTAGCCCTGCTTCGTAGTTAACCTGGGTTTTGTGGTGGTTGTGTTCTCTCACCGCCTCTAGAATTTATTCTCTGCCTTTGATATTCTGAGATTTCCTTGGGCAGCGTCTGCGGGTGGGAACCGCCCTTTGCCCCGTCAGGTCCTCGGCGGTCCTTCCACCTGCAGGCTGGCGTCTATGGTTGGCATCACTTTCTCTCCTTTGTTCTCTCTGCTCTCACCCTCTGGCTCTTTCGCTAGGCGCTATCCACGGATTTAAACGCCCTATCACTGTCTAAATGGCAAGATCAAGTTAATTAACTTCTCTTAGCTTCGGTTCCCGCATCACCAGGCCGGCTTTCAGAAAGCCAATCTCGCAGCAACGTCACGAGGATGAAATTCTTTTCAGGACGTAGCGCCCCTTGCACCGTGAGTGCTGTGGACGCCGCCCCGACTATGCTCTCATGGAACTTTCCCTGTGGGATGTTGGGTCCACCGCAGGATGGTGCTTCCTGGCCCCTGTGGTGGCTTGGGGCCATGTGACTTGTTCTGGCCAATTAACTGTGAGCAGACACGCACAGTGTCCCCTCTGGGCTGGAACATTTTGTTGCCAATGAAAGACCCACCAGAGCGCTCTTATGCTCACCCACAGTGAAGGACAATGTTCCAGATGGCATCTGCTCTGTCAGCTGGATTCTGGGGTGAAGGCAATGCAGGAGAGAGCCCCTGCTGACCTTCCAGGGCCACGCAGCACCAGTGAGAAACAGCCTTTTGTTTCATGGCCCTGAGATTTGGGGATGTTTGTTACCACAGCTCAGCTTAGCCATGCGGACAGAGACACAGGGATCACCAGAAATTCCCCCCCACCCCCGTACTCTGCATTAATGTTGGGAGTACCCTGTGAGCATGTCCCAAGACGCTCCAAGCCTTGCCTAGAAAAAGAGGCAGCCTGTCCTTTATTGACCCTTTTTATTGAAGTCTGGGGGAGGAAGGGCCACCCTCGAGTCTGAGTCGGTTCTGAGCTCTGATCAGTTCAGCCAGGCTGGAGGCTCCGCCTGGGGTGGGCATTGATGGCACAGGTGATGGGGTCCAGAAAGCCAGAATCAGAAGTTTCTCCTACTGACGACAGAGGAACCCATCTCCTTGTACTCGTCGTTGGTGACCCACATGTCCTTGAAGGTAGAGAGTGAGCACAGGATGGAACCACCCACCCAGGCGCTGTATGAGGAGTACGGAGAGGCGGACACCTGGATGGGGGCGAGGGGGGGAGAAGAGGGGAGAGTAGGGGAGAGGAGGGAGGGGTCAGATGGGAGAGAGGGGGAGAAACCAGAATCAAATACCTCTCTAAACTGGGACACAAAATGCCAATCCCCGAACGGACTTCACAGGCAGGCATTTCTTCCCCTGCAAACACGATTTCTTCTAACCTTTGAAGATATTTAACAATCCACATACACCACTGATAGCCTTAAACTACAGGATGAAATGAAGAAGAGCACAGAGCCCTCACCCGCGGCTCTTAGATTCACTCGAAAACACACGACACACTTTATACTGTGCAGGATTCACTCGAAAATGTATGACACATTTTATACCATGCAGAGTCTGTGTGTAAGGCTTCTGTATTCTGCAGAAAAGTTGGAAAATACAAGTAAGCCAAAAAAAAAAAAAAAAACCCACAAGTACTCAACCTGGAGAAGTCCCTTCTCCAGTTTGGTGCATCACTTTTAAGACTTTCTCTCGCTCTTACAGTGACACCTGTCGAGTGTGTATTTGCTTCACTTTCGGTTCTGGGAGCCTCTCGTCCGCTCACTCTCCTCTGGGCTGGAGGAGGTGAACATCTCCACAGCCGTTTGCCAGGTGGGGCCTCTGAAGCCCTGAAGGGTTAAAGTCACCACCTCAGGGCAGACGGTCGCCCCCTCTTGTGCTCACTGACTTTCCTTATGGCACTTGGGCGGCTAGTGATAGAGCGTGTTTACTATTCTAGGACGGGATCACAAACGCGTTGCTGCAGTTGGCAGGGAAAAGGGGTTTGGAATGAGGATCTGGAAAACCAAGGTCCCGGCTGAGGCGGGGAGAAAGGGCAGATGAATGGTCAGGTCCAGTTACCGATGTTCGCCGGCTCGGTTGCACCGTAGAACCAGGCTTAGCTTGGAAACCATTTGCTGGTCTTGGTTAAGAAACATTGCCGAGATTTTAAGAAAGAAAAAAAAAAGAGAAGAATCAGAAGTCGGGGGGGGGAAGCACGTTCAGGGTGAGGCATCAGGCAGAGAAAAGAGCCGGTACCGGCCACCCAGGTCCTCCATTCTCTCCCCCTGGACAAGTCACCTGCCCCGTCTGTGTCTGATCTAAACAAACACAAAATCAAACAGAAGCATACACAAGCTAGGATGATTCATGGCCTCAGAAGAAAGCAAAACTGCCAACAGAAAAATGCACAAAGGGTCGGAACTAGCAATTACAAAAATATGTTTAAAAAAACAAAAAGAGAGAAACCGCAGACAGATAGGAAGCATGCAGACTGTTCACCATCGTTAGCAATTAAAGGAATACAAATTAAAACCATCATTTGTCTTCCATCTATTCCATCGGGAAGAGAGTTTTTAGGATGATGGTCCCCGTGCTGGAAGGAATAGATGGGAGGAAGAGCCGTCTCTGCCCCACAGGATCCCAGGTGGATCTTTCCACAGGCAATGGGGCTGTATGTTCAAAAAGCCTTGACCTGTGCACACCTTTCTGGCCCCAGAAATTCACATCTAGAAATAAATCCTAAGGGGAGAAAGAACTATTCTAAAGAAATAAGGGGAAATCATGGCCAAATTTTTAACTGAAGAACGTTACAATAGCAGGATTTGGGTTGCTGGGAGAAACTTGCTTTAAAAGGCGGCCCCATGGGAGTTAGCTGTTTTCTGAAGGGGGAGGAACTCGTTTTAGGGAGAGAATTCTTCTCTTCTTTAGGGGAACAATTTAATGAGCTCTGTGGGTGTGTAAAGTGGATCCACACCCTCCAGCTCAGCTGCCCCCTTCCACCTGCTGCCTTCTCTACGGCTTTGTCAAATCTCTCTGCAAATCCTGTCGCCTTCGCCGTCGGCGTGGGTTTGGGTTTTGGCCACCTCCCACCCCTCCACTGCCTGCTCTGAGCCATCGGCATCTCTCGCCCGAATCTTAGCATCACCTTCCACCTGCATCCCGACCTCCCCATCCCCGAAGTCCACCCTCCACACAGCAGCCCGAGCCATCCCCCAGAGCCTGGCTGGATCGTGTCCCTCCTCTGCTCAAACCTCCCAGTTGTTTCCAGTTTCTCTCAGGGTAAAGCCTCACACAGCTTCTCTGACCTCATTTATGCTTCTCCCTCCTTCAGCCCCAGCCAACCCTTCCCAGCCCTTCCTCCAGGAAGCAAGCCTGTGGGCTGCTGCATGGGCTGTTCCCTCTGCCTGAATGCTCTTCCCTCTGCCTGAATGCTCTTCCCCGGATATCCACATGGCTCCCCCTCACCTCCTTCAAGCATTTACTCAAATGCCACCTTCCCAAGGAGACCTCTCTCGACCACTTGCCCTCCCGCCATCCTTTGCTGCTTTCCCCCTGTAGCTTATATATTATTACATATTTGCTTCCATATTATTTTGTATTGGTTATCGCTTCCTCCCCCGACTGGAACGTAAGCTCTAGTTTACTGATGTGTCCCCAAGGACCTGGCACCAGGCCTGGCACAGCAGAGGCATTCTGGGAATATCCATGGGATGAGCTCAGGAAGCCCCCCGGGGGTGGATCAGAAGGACCGTACCTTCACGTTGATGGCAGGGGTAACGAGGGAGCAGAGTTCTCTCTGCATCCGGTCCCGCAAGCCGAGACAGGAGCTGGTACCTCCAGACAGTATGATGTGGCCAAAGAGAACCTTCCAGAGGCCGCGTCTGCAGGAGCTGATACTCTGAAAGGCTGTCAGGTGGATGCCTGGGCGGTTTCTCCCTGTCAGGTGGCCGGAGGAAGAAAGAACCTTGAGGCCTCTGCTCGCCAGAGGCCTGGCTGGCTGCACGCTGGGCTCCTCCCTTCGAGCTGCAGGCTCTGGGAGGTGGGGACCCCCGAGTCTCAGACAGCTCTGGGGGCGCCCCCGGACAGACCCGAGCACCACGCACCGCACGAGCATGTGGGTTTCAACAGTACGCGTCATGGATGAGACTGCTAATGACTCAATAAATATTAGTTCTCTTCTCTCATCTGAGAGAATTTATATTCCAGTGTTATTGACAATTATTAATTTTCAACGCCTTGGTATCCATTACTTCATGAAAGGATTTCTGCAGAGGCAGTGTTCTTGCTCAGGTAGCCTTTGAAAAATTATACTGATTATTCCTTTCTTTTTTTTTTTGTTTCTTCTCCCTAAAGCCCTCCAGTACATAGTTGTATATTCTAGTTGTAGGTTCTTCTGGCTCTGCTATGTGGGACGCCACCTCAGCATGGCTTGATGAGTGGTGCTAGGTCCGTGCCCAGGATCCGAACCAGCAAAACCCTGGGCCACTGAAGTGGAGCATGCGAACCTAACCACTCAGCTGCGGGACTGGCCCCTGATTATTCCTTTCTTGATTCATTGTGTGTCCCTATAAATAAACTCAAATAGAATGAGAACAGCCCTTAAAAGGTATGAGCAGTGCATTCCTATCGTTCAGTATCATGAGCCTCTGGGAGGGGTGGGTGGTGGCTGTCGGCACCTCGTTTTCCTGATGGGTGACAGTACCCGGATCAGAACCTTGGAAGCAGACGGGAAAGGCTGATTCCCAGGAATCGTGTAGGGCAACTGGCCCAGCGAGCATGAGCAGTGACTATCTGTTCTCATTGTGATTATGGCTGTGTCCACACTCGCTGTGACCTGCCCGACCTGGAAGGGAACTGTTACATTGTAGGTGAAGAATTTCACCGAAACACTTCTTCATTTATGCATTTATGCATTTATCTGGGACGTGTGCCATGTTTTAAGGCTTCATCCCCTGCACAGCTAACAGGGAAGACGGAGATGAAGGCAGGTAATTTATGCTGGATTAAAAATGCCATGTCGTTACCCGTTACTAATCCTGGGGAATGGGGTGGGTCCCTTTGAGTCCCCTCTGTCCCTTATGAATGTCACCAATTATTTTAAAAATTTGATTTCAGGAAGTAGCCAGTTTTCCGTAACTACCGGGCAGACTTCATCTTCCCAATCAGTGGGAATTTCATAATCCATCCTTTTTTCCTGTTCTGCTGTGCCTACCAGACGGGTTACTCAACTCAATGCTCATCTAAAATCTCCAGATCAGCCACATTTTTTAAAGTTCCCCCCAAATCTATGGTTTTGGCTTTTCTGCTTTAATTGTCTTAATTTTCATATTCAAATTACTTTGTAAGTAGATGGAGTATGAATAATATGTAATGAGAGAGAGGCCTTGCAGTCCAGCATAGGACGTAATCATATTTGGCAAATACTGAACACTCTCCAATGGGGTTTGTCATCTGTAAAATGGGATCAGGTGAGATTGGGGGCGATTCAAGGATGCAGCCCACGTACGAGGGTCAGCAAAGTGACAGGGATATGGTTGTCCTTAATGTCCGATAGCTGATATCTGAGAGCTTATTTTTTTTAGGAAGCTTAGCCCTGAGCTAACATCAGTTGCCAATCCTCCTTTTTTTGCTGAGGAAGACTGGCCCTGAGCTCACATCTGTGCCCATCTTCCTCTAGTTTATATGTGGGATGCCTACCACAGCACGGCTTGACAAGCAGTGCCATGTCCGCACCTGGGATCTGAACCAGCGAACCCCGGGCCGCCGAAGTGGAATGTGTACACTTAACCGCTACACCACCGGGCTGGCCCCTGAGTAGCTTTTGAAATGGGGTGCCCACTTGCTACTATCTGCTAGTCAAAATGCAATCCTCTACCAGCCCCTCTGCTCCTTCCTTCTTATAGCTGCCCACTGTCCGTGTCTGGGTCCATCCCCGTCCACTTCTCGTGGGCTCACCTATGAGGCTTGTCTGGAAAAGTGCTTCGGGGCAGAAAAACCTCTCCTGCCCAAGGTGGATCTCCCGGCCATCAGGCAGCTGATATTTCTGTGCACTGGAAGGGGGGCTGGCTTCCTCCTTTTCCTTATCAAAGTCCAAAGCCACGTAGCAACACTTCTCTTTCACGTCCCGGACGTACTCCCGGTCAGCTGCGCGAGGAAGGAAAAGGGTCTGAACGTGAGATGAGTCCACAAAAGCTTTTTTTTTTTTTTTTTTTACCTCCAGGGAGCATCTTTCTGAAGATTCAGCTCCTTGTGTTGGAGACGAGACAGCACCATCCTAGCCGCTATTTCTATTTTCATCTCATATTCAGCTCCTCTGGATCAGTAACGCGTGTAGGGGGCCTGGGCTTGTGGAAGAGAAGGCAGGACAGGGATGCCCTGAGCGAAGATGCAGGTGTTTGAAAATGTCTGCATTTTACAGGTTGGTACCTTACTGTCTCTAGTGTGTTTGGGGGGAGCTGGAAAATCAAATTTAATTTTATTATCTACTAAGGTAGGAGGTGCCATTGGTGCCCCCAATCCCCACCTGTGTGAGTGTTGGCTACGAACAGCTCACAGCTGCCCGCTGCTCTGGAGAATTGCCTAAGCGAGTTGAAGCCCCCTCAGCTGGAAATATCTGGAAGGTCACATGCCTCCCCTTTCTGGGTGGCTGACAACAGGTTTTAGACCCAGCCACGTCTTTTTGTGTTACGGTTTTATATTTTGTCTTTCATTGCTTTTGAGCTGGGATCAGAGGGAACTCCCTGCACGAGCTTGCCTGGAAATCCCGCTGATTCTTCAGCCCTTTGACACTGACTTCAGCCTTCACCCGCTCCACTTGAGCTGATCTTACCGGAGACTATCACGTCCTCCTGGTTTCAAAACCTGCCACACTTTTTGGTTCTTTCTTGACTTCATTCCCTCTAGCAACTGACGCACGGCTAACATCTCTTTCTTTGGCTTTTGGGATGTTGTGCACTCTTGGTATCTTTCTCTTCCTTGCCTAGTTTGGGCTTTGAGGAGACAATTCTAGGTTCAGATTCCACCTCTGCCATTCACCAAACGCAGAGCTTTAGGTAAATTCATTCTCCTCTTAAACTTTCCTTTTTTTTCATCTTTGAGAATGGGGTTAATCGGCACTCTGAGGATTGTTGTAAGGAGGAGATGAAATGACGCACATAATGATCTTGCTAAGTGGTAGGTACCAATAAAATGTCCGTCTTTGGCCCGGCCAATCCTTCTCACCTTCCCTCTAATTGCTGCTATTCCTTAGGGCTCCAGATTTACTTTGCTCGGTTTTGGACACAGACCTCCTGCCTGGGAAGACCAGAAAGTATAAGGCAGGGTGTAGGCTTGTTGGGAAGGGGTTCATGCAGGTTATACAGGCTGGGAACCTAGTCCAGGAACTGGCTGAAAAGTGGGATGGGGACATCCTCATCTGGAGTCCTTGGGTTCACGTTATGGCTGCTACACCTACTAGGCAAGGGATGGTGAAGTCGCCTGACCTTCCTAAGCCTCTTCCTCTTGCAAAGGAGCTAATTGTTCCCCCTCGAGGTGTTGTAGCATGCAGCAGTGAAGGAATCTATGTGAAATGTTTACTTAGGCCACTACCTTGCACAGGGCAAGTACTCTGTAAAGCCGAGCTCACCATCATTGGCGTCATCTTATCAATATCATCACACTGTCATTATCATCACCATCACCACCGCCATCATCGTCATCGCCATCATTACTACCATCATCCACGTCACCATCACCACAACCACCATCATCATCATGACCACCACCATCCTCACTGTCACCACCATCGTCACCAACACAATCATCACCATCATCCTCATTGTCATCATCAATCCACTAAATGTCCGTCAACATAGATAGGGTTGTTTTTAGGACTTGGATGATAGCCTACAGCCTTAGCTTTACAAATTGAGGGCTGTAGGTTAGGCAAGCCGAGAAGGAAATTACACCCCATGGACTGGGTTTACCTGGCCAGGAATAGCAATTTCCTACCTGTGCTCACCAATGAATGCCCACTGTCTGACAATTGCTGTAGGAGGTACAAGGTTAGGTCTTGGCCCGCCACGTCCATCTGGATGGTTGACTGATTCAATGGACAGCTGTCACTGATGGGCACGATGTATGTCATTCCTTCTCCAGATTCAATGGTTGTTCCTAGACAAGAGAACACTGGCATCATAATGTAGGATGTCTGGCATCCCTTACCAGTTGTGCAGTCTGCAGGACGAGATGGTAGAGGGGGAAATAATTGGAGGGGGAGGCAAAGGGCCTGAGGAGCAGACTTTTCCCCCCTGTGGGGAAGGGTTCTAGGATGGAGCCTATGTGGGTTAGACCAGGGGCTGACTGTTTTGGACAGGAAGCCTTCAGGTTTTCTTATTAAGCCAGACATACAGGTATTAGCAGCAGTTGCCAAAGAGGTAAAAGGGGAAGAATACTGTGTCCCTGACACCTGTTTCTCTAAAGAACTGTCTGTGCATTGATGTGGGCACTGGGACCCCTGGGGAGCACTCGGATGTCAGAAGAGTCGGAATGAGTGGAGGAGGCACACATTTTGCTTAGCAAGGCAAACCGCTCCCTCTGTGCTTGTCCCAAAGGATGTGACGTGGTGATGAGAATACATGGCCTCGTTTTGTATGAAATGGTGCGTTCCAGAACCATCCAGAGCTGACTAGGGGTCTGGGTGGCTGGCTTCTTGCACCTGTTGAATCTGGTAACCAAGAAATTCAAGTTTAAATGAAGCAAAGTGAGTCAGGAAGACCTCCACGTCTAGCTAAGATGGGAACGAGGAGTGGATTCCCCGCCGCCTGAACCACCTAAGAAAGGGGACAACATAGAAGAAACAACAGTTTTCAAGCTAATGGCCATCAGGCAGCAAAGGACAGTGGTCCCTGAGAGAGAGGACATCGCAAGACAGGCAATGGCACACCACCACCCCTCATGAGCATTGACACAAAATTGTAGCAAATTGAATCCAACAATATATAAAAAGGTTAATATGTCATGACCAGATGGGTTTTATCTCAAGAATGCAAGGTGTGTGTGTGTGTGTGTTTTAAAGCTTCTTTCTTAAAGTATGCTTTTTCTTAGTGAGGAAGATTAGCCCGGTGCTAACATCTGTTGCCAATCTCCCTCTTTTTTTTTCTCCCCAAAGCCCCAGTACATAGTTGTATATCTTAGTTGTAAGTCATTGTAGTTCTTCTATGTGAGACGCCACCACAGCATGGCTTGATGAGTGGTGCGTAGTTTTGCACCCAGGAGCTGAACCCGTGCGCCCTGGGACACCGAAATGGAGCATGTGAACTTAACCACTCAGCCACAGGGCTGGCCCCTGCAGGGTTGTTTTAACATTCCAAAACAAATCAACATATTTCACCATATGAAAGAACTAAAAGAGAAAATCCATATGTCATATCAATAGATGCAAAAATGCATTTAACAGGGGCTGGCCCCGTGGCCGAGTGGTTAAGTTCGCGCGCTCCGCTGCAGGCAGCCCAGTGTTTCGTTGGTTCGAATCCTGGGCGCGGACATGGCACTGCTCATCAGACCACGCTGAGGCAGCGTCCCACATGCCACAACTAGAAGAACCCACAACGAAGAATATACAACTATGTACCGGGGGGCTTTGGGGAGAAAAAGGAAATAATAAAATCTTAAAAAAAAATGCATTTAACAAAATCCAACATCTATTTATGATCAAAAAAGCCTCTGAGCAGACGAAGAATACAGGAGAACTTCCTCAAACTGATAAAGGATGCCTATGAAAAACCTACAGCGAACATCATACTTAATAGTGTAAAACTGAATGATTTCCCTCTAAGATGAGGAACAAGATGAATTCTGTACGGAGGGTGCTAGCCAGAGCAGTCAAGCAAGAAAAACAAGGAAAAGCATCCAGTTGGGAAATAAAGAAGTGAAACTGTCTCTCTGTAGATAACGTAACTGACTATGTAGAAAATCCTACGAAATCTACAAAAAAAGCTACCCGCACTGATAAACGCCTTTAGTTACGGTACCAGGATACAAGATCAATGTAAAAAAAGCCAATTGTAAATCCATGTACTAGAAAAGAACAATCAGAAATTGAAATAAAGATATCAGCCACAATAGCATCAAAGTATATGAAACAGAGATAAATCTGACAGAGGTGAGCGTGATTTATACACTGTAAACCACAGAACATCGCCAGGAGAAATTAAAGAAAACTTAGGAGATACACCATATTCATTGTTTGGAAGACTCAATTTTGTTAAGATGTTGGTTCTCCCCAGACTGATCTGTAGATTCAATGCAGTCGCGATCAAAACCCAAGAGGCTTTTTTTGGGTAGAAATTGACAAACTGATTCTAAAATTCATGTGGAAATACAAAGAACGTAGAATGGCCAAATATTATCAAGAACAAGAGACCAAAGTTGTAGCACCAACATTATCTTATTTCAAGACAATATCTAAGCTATAATGATAAAGCCACAGCTATCAGGCAATGGGGTGTCAATCTTGAGTTAGTCAAGTAGAACGATGGAACAGAATACACAGTACAGAGATAGACCCACACATATACGGACAACTGAGTCGCCAAAAGAAATGTGCAAAGGCAATTCAGTGAAGAAAGCGTAATTTTTTCAACAAAGAGTGTAGGAACAATTGAACATCTATACACACACAGGCAAAACTTCATTCACACCTTCTACCATACACAAACATGTATGCAAAGTCGATCATAGTACTAAATGTAAAACTAAAAATTATAAAACTTCTTGAAGAAAACATAGCAGAAAGCCTTTGGGTTCCGCGTATATTTCTTAGATACGACACCAAAAGCGTGATCCACAAAAAACCAAATTGGCAAATTGGAGTTCGTTGAAATAAAAAATTTCTGCTCTTCAAAAGACACAGTGAAGAGCGTGAAGAGTCAAGCTATAGACTGGGAGAAAATGTTTGCAAAAGATATATTTGATAAAAGACTTGCGCCCGGGATACAAAAAGAATTCTCAGAACTCAAAGATGAACAACTCAGTGAAAAACCGGGCAAAACATTTGAACAGACACTTCACTGAAGTAGATACACAGATGGCCAAAAAACCCACATGGAAGAACGCTCCACGTCATTGGTTGTTAGGGAAATGAGAATCAAAACCACCATGAGATACCGCTGCCCTCCCATTGAATGGCTAAAATGGAGAAGAGGCACCGTGTCCAGTATCGGCCAGGACGTGGAGGAGCTGAAACTCACACATGGCTGGTGGGAAGGCAAAATGGCGCACGCAACCACTTTGCCATCTAGTTTAGCAGATTTTGTTAAAAGTTAGGCATACACCTGCCATGTGACCCAGCCATGTCACTTCTAGATATTTACTCAAATGAAGTGAAAGCATATGTCCGTGAAAAGGCTTGTCCACGAATGTTCAGAGCAGCTTTGTGTATAACAGCCCTGGCCTGGACACCACCCAAATGTCCATTCACAGGTGAGTAGATAAAGCATGGTGCATTGACACGATAAATACTATGCAGCTATAACAAGAAGCCAACCATTGACATAAACAGCACCACCAATGGTTGTCCAAATAACTATGTGGAGCGAAAAACCATCCAAAAAAGAGTACACGCCACATGATCACGTTGACACAAAATTCTAGAAAAGGCAAATCATTTGAGGACACATGGGAGGCGGCAGCGGGCAGATGGGAGGGAAACATTAGAAGTGATGGCTGTGTTTGTCATCCCGGCTGTGCTGACACTTTCACGAGCTTGTCCACATGTCAGAACTGATCAGACCGCATACCTGAACCACGTGCAGTTTACTGTACGTTGATTATGCCTCAAAAAAGCCGATAAGGAAAAATAAAAGTGAGTCAAGTCGGGGCAGGTTGTTCAACCAGGAGGGATGGAAAAGGAAGGAGCTGTGAAAAGGGCTGGCGAGTGTGCGTTTCGTGGAATTGTCTTCTCTTTTGTTATTTGCGGGGGGGAGTGGACAGCCAGAGGGGCGGGGGGCCTGGGCTCACGGGGGAGGGGCTTCTGCAGGGCCACTCACCAGAGGTTTGGCCGGAGGAGTACAGAGAAAGGACTCCTTGGTTGGCTAAGTACAGGGCAGGCACGTTGAAGCTCTCAAAGAGGATCTGCGGAGAAGCATCCAGAAGCGCTCAGCGGGCGGAGGAGGGGTGGGTCTTCCCGCAATTCCGAGAGCACAACGTGAGTCTGGCTGGCAGCGGGCACTTGGCGACCCCCAAGAGAGATCCGGATGATAGGGTGGGAAGCACGCCACCCTTCCTGACAGCTCTGTGACACTCAGTTTACCCATCTGTGAAATGGGCTCGCACCCTTCCCGGGTCCCTTACAGGATAGTACCTTACGGGACTGTCACCAGACTGATTAGGGAGCCTGTCGTCCTCTGGTAAACCACCGTTTTATCACGATGGGGACGAAGCTGAACTCCCAAATGCCTCTGTGAAGCCACTGCTGTTCCCTGCAATGAAGACACCCTTCCTTCTGCTCTCGAGGGCGGGCAGACTTTACAGACTTCGATTTGAGATGATTGGTTGTTTTATAATAACGAAAATAACGAAGGCTAACTGTCAGTGTGTGCTCCCCGCACGCCTGACACTTGGTCCAGACACGCTTGGTCAAGAAAGTTGTCCTGGCACTGACTGTATCCAGGGCGGGAGAGCCTCAGCTTTGCTACTGTGGCCCATGGGGACCCCCCGAGGTAAGTGACAGTGGACCCCCTTGTCCACTTGAGAGACCAGCGGACGGAATGGGAGGGAGCAGGTGGCAGAGGTGGGACGTGAGCACGGGTGGCTGGAGACAGCAGGGCACCAGCCCCATGAGGTTGGCTGGGTGACTGAATGATTCCCCTGCCAGCTGGTGACATGGGGTCTCTAAGAGTTAAAGTTTCTTTGGATGGTGGGACCCAACACGATGTCACTCGGGTAGATGAAAGGCAGCCGGTGTTAGGCGCTGAGAAGGCTGCCAGGAATGGCCACAGGGGGCTTGTCCCCAGGAACAGGGTGACAGCAAGCTGGCGCTGTCAGGAGCAGCTTCTGGGCAGCCAGTGGGCGGGGGTTAGCTAGCCTCAGAGGGTGGACTGGCTCGTCTGAGTAATTTCGCGGGCTCCTGGGCACAGGGGCTGTCGCCAGGTGTCTGTTCCCCGGCTCTTGAGCGATTAGGGTGGGTGTATAGCGGCCGTGGCGTGTGACAGGACAATAGGGAAGTGGCCGGGATGTGGACTTCATCCACTGCCCAAGAGGGGAACTGACCGGCCTCAGCAGAGACCTCAAAAGCGGGTCAGGACAGCATTTTCAAAAAACGCTATCACACACGGCGGGGACACACCACTGGGCGTGTTACCCACTAAGCGTGTTACTCACTAAGTGTGTTACTAGGGGGCGGCCCTCTGTGGGGTCTCAGGGTTTACCCAAGAGAAATGAAAACGGGTCCACACAAAGGCAGGTTCACGCCTGTGCACAGCGGCATCGTGCACAACAGTCCCACATGGGACACCACCCAACGTACACTGCGGGAGAAGGGACCTGCCATGTGACGTGTGGAGGGCCTGGCGCCTGGAAGCTGGCACCACCCCGAAGGACACGGCGGGCGTGGTGGCGTCTGTGAGTTTGCGCCGTCCTCGGGTACCCCTGGCATTTGAATCCTGGTGGAGGAGCGAGGGCAGCTTTTGCCAGTCACCTGGAGACCCTCCCCCTAGGAAACACAAAGACCAAAACCGACCTCCGCTCCCAGCCTGGCGTGAGGCCAGAGGTCACAGAGCCTGGAAGGGTCTTTAAGGTTCCTGCGGTCAAGCTCCCATTTCACAGATGAGGAAACTGAGGCCTGGGAGCAATAAGAAGCATTAGCTGAAGGCTCGACAGGTGCAGGGCTCTGTGACAAGCGCTTTCTGGCATCAATGCTTTCGTTTCCATGACGACCCCCAGGATACTACTGTTACCATCCTTCTGATGGGGAACTCAGACCCGTGAGGACCAGCAATCCACCTGAGGTCACCCGTGCTGGGAAAGCCAGTGCCAGAACCACAGGGTCCTGAAGCCAGGGCAGGCCCTTCCCTCTACACTGGGCTGCACCCCATCCTTTTCTTCTGGGACATGACACCAGAAATCCTCTCAAGATACAGGTCGATTCCAGGAAGAAAATCAGCTCTGTGCCTCTGACCATGCCAGCCTTGGGCAGGAGCCTCGGGCAGGGTGGGGCCCCCTGCAGGGAGGGCCAGTGCATGATGGAGAGCTCCCAGCCTGGCCCACGGAGAAGGAGGAGCCCACGGGGAGGTGGCCTTGCTTGTGCCCCAGTGCGGGCCACCGTGGCTGGCTACTTTTGCCTGCAGAAGCTTCTACCTCTCTCCACCGCTCTGCCCTGGCCTGTGGTCACCGGCTCCCTTTCCCTGGGTGACCCCATGGGTGCTGCTCACAGGGGCCTAGAAGGAGAGCCGAGGGAGGTAGCGTCCAGATGTCCCTGCTCCCTCCCTCGGGTCCCTCCTCGAAGGACAGCTCCTGGCCATCGGCCCCATCTAGTGCTGGAAAGCCCCCGTTGCTGTTTCAGATTTGGGGGGAACGGCTCCCCGTTACTAACCCGCAGATCTGCACCACCTCATGTTGCTTTACTAAACCTTATGTTCACCTTTCTGAGTAATCTTTCCAGCAAACTCCCCAAAAACTGCCCCGTGCGACTGTACCTCTGGGTTCCTGCTGGGACCCTGAGATGTTAGGGGGTGAATGTGGAGAGAGCCGGGGCAGAAAGAGAGGCAGTGGGGCCTGGGGGACATGGGGATGGGCTGGAGACAGGCTGTGTGGCTGGTGCTGTGGTTGTACGAGGTGAATTTTATGTGTCAACTTGACCGGCCCACGGGAGGCCCAGACATGTGGTCACTCGTGACTCTGGGAGTGTCTGTGAGTGTGTTTCTGGATGAGATTAACATTTAACTTGATAGGCTGCGTAAAGCAGATTGCTCCCTCCAATGCGGGTGGGCCTCATCCAATCAGTTGAAGGTCTGAATAGAACAAAAGGCCTGAGCTTTCCCCGAATAAGAAGGAATTCTTCCTGCCTGACGGCCTTTGAACTGGGACATCAGTTTTTCCTGCCTGTGGACCGGAACTTCCACTGTCGGCCCTCCTGGGGCTCCAGCCTGCCAACTCACCCTGCAGATCCTGGGGCTTGCCAGCCTCCATAATCATGAGAGCCAATCCTTTGTAATAAATCTCTTTCTCTATGCTTCTGGTTCTGCTACTCTGGAGAGCCCTGGCTAAGACGGTTTGGGAGGGACACGTTACCTCGGGGTGAGGGACAGTCCCAGCCCTCTCTTCTCTCTCCAGCGCCCTGGGGCCCTGATGGGCACTTAGCGTTCTCAGACTGGGTATTTGCTGTTTCAAGGCCGTGGGCTTTGCGCTAGGTCCACGTGGAGCCCAGCTGTGGCCCACTTCTGTGATCTGCCGTCCGCGTGCAGAGGAGGAGCCCTCGGCTCCCCCAGGGCTGTGTGAAACGGGGCGGCAGCTCACACATGCTCTGTGATGGATGGTGCCCCGTTTCTGGGCCACGGCACAAGCCTGCTCCATGTGCAGGTGGCACCCTGGGCCGTGGGCCTCTCCTTCCGGTCACCGCTCACTGCAGGAGATGCCGCTGAGCTCCAGGGACCCTGGGCCAGGTGGTGGAACCTCGCGGCTTGCATAATTAGCTTACTGATGTCCTCATTAGGCAAAGCATAATAATGTAACTGGAATCCGGGCGGCCAGAAGCAGCCCCTGTAGCCCCCACCTGACCCGGATCCCACTTGGGCCCTAAGGAGGACTCTGCAGTCTGTACTGGGTGGGGGCACCCTCCTCTCTTCACCAGCCTGAGCCCTTAATGGGCTCCCAGATCCTGTTCAGTCCGGTCAATCTGATCTGCATGCACCACCAACTCCTGCCTGGGGGGCGGGCCCAGGGTGAGGCTCCGAGAACGGGGAGGTCCAGGACCTTTTAGTCAGGGTGGGACACACCACACAGCAGTGCCGGAAACGGGGCTGCGGAATCAGAGCATGCGGGGCCAGGTGGGTCCACCAGCCACTCGCCCTGCGACCTTTGCCAAATTACTCCCGCTCCTGGATGCTCCAATTTCTTCATCCGTGCAAGGGGCTGGTAATCGCCCTGCCCCCCAGAGTGGCTGGAGGTCCAAACAAAATAATTCACGTGAAACGCCCAGCCCACGCCTGACCGCTCGGCCGGCTCTCCCGTGCTGGCCGTCATTCTTGACGCTAAGGTCAAAGGGGACAGCTCACTGGTGTCTTTCACTCACTGAGCAAAGAGAAGGTGATGTCCTGAGGCTCGAGGCTCGGGAGGAGGTGGAGGCTGCCCTCCCTGCGGCCTGCCCCCTGACCCCCCGCCCCCCGCCCACCTGGCCTCTTACCTGCGACATCCTGTCTTTGACGGACATCGAGTTTAAAGGTGGTTCTGTCACCATCAGAGGGTGCTGCTCTGGAGCGATGCGGAGCACTTGGTAGAAGGAGTGATGCCAGATCTGAGGAGAGCGGGGGGCGACACAGTGAGGCCGGGGGGAACCTGTCTACACCACAAAGCGACTTCTTCAGTAGCACATGTGGTTGTGGTTCACAGCAGGAAAGACTGTGTGGCTTTGACGAGATGCAGGACCTCCGTTCGTGCACCAGGCCTCGAGGCAGGAGGGGAGCAAAGACGCACGAGTCACGGGCCCCACGTGGAGGACCTCGTGGTCTGACTGGGGGACAGATGTGAGCCCCACACCGCAAGGGTGAGCCCCGAGACGCAGTGGGAGGGGGGGTGGCACAGGGAGAGGGCGCAGGGGTGCAGACCCGTCATTAGTCCCAGTCCCACGTGCACCAGGTGTGCACCCAGACAAGCCACCTGACCTTCGTGAACCTGTTTCCTCATCCATGAAATGGAAAATGCTCCCACCTCATGGAAGATGACAAGGATTTGGTCATGGGACATTTGTAGAAAGCCTAGTATATGAGTGTCCTGTGGCCGCTATAACGAAGCCCCCGAGATGGGCAGCTTGAACCACTGACACTGACTGTCTCCTGGTCCCAGAGGCTGGACAGCCGAGCTCCAGGCGTCCTCACATGGCCGTCCCTCTGTGCGTGTCTATGTCCTCGTCTCCTTTTCTTGTAAGGACCCCAGTCACATTGGATCAGGACCCACCCTAGTGACGTCATCCTACCTTGAGCCCCTCCTTAAAGGCTGTCTCTCCAAATACGGTCACACTCTGAGTTGCGGGGGGTCAGGACTCCAACACATGAATTTGGGGGACACAGTTCACGTCACAGCACCTGGCAGAGTGCTTGGCGCACAGTAGGTCCTCCATGGGCTAACCACTATGGATGCAGCACCTGCCTGCCTCTGGAAGGGAGGCTCCGTGGAGGAGTGAAACCAGGAGTGAAGGACCCGCTCCTTGGGCGAAGCCTGTTGCGAATCGTGCTGCTACGAACACACGTGTGAAATATCTCTTCCTGTCCTTGCTTTCCGTTCTTCGGATCTACACCCAGAAGGTGGATTCCTGGCTCCTGTGGTGGTTCCAGCTTAGTTTTTTAAGGAAACACCATACTGTTTTCCACAGCGGCTGCACCATTTCATGTTCCCACTAACAGTGCACAGGGTTCCAATTTCTCTATATTTTCAACAACACTTGTTGTTTTCTGGGTTTTTTAAAATATACGTATATAACAGCCGTCCCAATAGATATGAAGTGGACTTAGGGCTTTTTATCCATCCTCCGCTTTAATCCTCACAACAGTGCTAAGTGGTAGGAAAAATTATACCGTTTCTTACAGATAAGGAAACTGAGGGCAAGAGAGGCCAAGTTACTTGTCCAAAATGACGTAGGTAATAAGTAGTGGAGACGGGATTCAGACCCAGGGCTCTGACTGCAGAACCATGTGGTTGGTACTACGATGTGGTGTGTACTGAGACCAGATGCAGGACGGTGGTGACGGTTGCACAACAATGTGAATGTGCCTAACCCCTCCCCGGTGCCCAGGCAGCAGGGCCGCCCTGGGCATGGGTAGGGGGGGCCCTGTGAACAGATCCCACCCCCAAAAAAGCAGCAGCCTACCTTTTCCACGTTGTCCCAGTTGGTGATGGTCGCCCGAGAGATAGGCTGCTGCAGGTTGAGTTGCCCCCATTTTTTCTGAACCTCGTCTCCGATGAACCAGTCTTTCTCTTCCATTCCCACCAACAGATTCTGAAAAACACAGACCAGGGCAGATCTGCTCTCCAGACCGACTCATCTCCACGCAGCTTTCACGTTGGCGCACGACTGTGAGCCGTGACATGCCGCGGGGGAGAGCTCCAGGTCACAGCGCTGGCATCTGGGGCCTCCTCAAACGGGAACAGCAGTTCCAAATGCCACCAAGAGGTTTTTAGCAAATGACCTGCAAGGTGAAGTGCTCCTGAGGACCCACCGCCAGGACCCTCGTCTTGCGGATGGGGAGACCGAGTCTGAGGGAGGAGAGAGACGGTGGAGGCAGGAACAGCGTGGGGAGAGGCGCCGGCTTCCCCATCTGCTTTGGAAAGTTGGCAGAGAAAAGGTCCGAAATTTAGTTTACTTTCCATCATTCTTTCGGAGGATGAACCCAGCTACTCTCACGGCCGATTAAGCCATTCATTCTGTCATTCAGAGGTTATTTGACGTTGGTCCGTGTTTTGGTCCGGGTCCACCAAGAAGCAGACACCAAGACAGGATTAAGGGTGTGAGGACTTTGCTGGGGAACATGCTCATGTGGGAGAAAGTGGGGAGGCAGCCGGACAGGGCAAGGAGAGACATCAGGCTGTTGTCCAAGTCTGAGCCTGGGTGTAGGAGAGACGACTGGGTGGGTGTCCTGGAACATTGTGCGGTTGGAGGAAGGTTCGGCAAGGCTGTTGGGGAGTTTGTGAGCCAAAGTCATTACCACAGGAGCCCTGTGTCTCCCAGAAGTGGGTCTGCCTGTTATCGTGCCATGCCCCATTGTTGGCTAAGAGCAGTTGGTGGGAAGCAATGGTGGTGCAGTGGTGCCATGCTGCAATGGTGCGATAGTGCAGCATTGTCACACTGCAATGGTGTGATGGTGCAGTGGGGCCATGCTGTGATGGTGTGATGGTGCAGTGGTGCCATGCCGCGATGGTGCAGTGGGTTTCCGAGAGAGGCCCATTCTTGAGGCCACCACACCTTATCTGCACAGAGCCCCCATATCTTAGGAACTTGTCTTTTAGGCAGAAGAGGTGTGGACCTGGGGCGAGAACCACTGGCTTTGAGCCCCCGGGCGAGTTGCTTGCCTTCTCTGAGCCCCCACCTCCTTCTCTGTCAGATGGGAACAATGACCTCTGCTCCCCATACCCTGCACAGCATTTTTGGGGGATCAAGTTGAATGAGATTGTTGATGGGAACGCACTTTATTAACTGAGAGGGCATATTAACACGAGGGACAGTAGATGCTGCACCAGCCTGCGACATCTGTCAGCTTTCCCCATCTAAGTGTGGAGGGCGGGGACGGGGTGCCTGCACGAGTGAGGAAGGAGCAGAAGCAGTCTGGTCTGAAGTCACTGTTTGAAATATCGAGATGGACTGTGCTCGGGTTGGGGTGACCATGCTAGTTACAAGGGACTGAGTGACTCTGGGCAAAGCCACAGGTGCTCCCACGAGGGTCTCACTGTCATCTTGGCTGCTAGACCAAAGTGCACAGGAGGGGTTCATGCACTTGGATCTGGAACGAAATGTGAGTCCACGCAGAGCCTCCTGTCACGTGCCAACCCCACTTAGAGACAGAAACTTACTTCCTGCTGCCCAGCAGCTGGCCCCAAAGCCCGGGAGGACGGCGGCTGAGCTGCCTCGCAGAGGGTGAAGCCAGAGAGCCGGCCTGCTGTGGCACAGGTGGCTGGTGCACTGCCCTGGTAATTCATCTCGGTCACTGGTTTCTACCTTGGTGAGGAATTTGACTTTTCTCCCTGTCTTCAGCTTCACCAGGTATGTAACCTGTTTTATAGACACTTCTGTTTCTGTGCTACTCTTTGTACAGGTAACAGGTATTGTGGACGATTGCCATGGCGCAACGTGAAGTTCTGACCTTGCTGGACAAATGCCCCACCAAGGATTACACACAGAGGGATTGAATACAGGGAACTGGTTCCACGGTGTCGGGAGTTTGGAAGAGCAAACCGGGACCACTGGTGAAGCTCAGAGCGTGGAAGTGCAGACCGACAGCCTGGGCTGCGGGGTCAATCCAGCGAGTTACGGTTATGATGGGAACACGGAGCTAAGGGCCTCCCGGCTGCTTCGGCTGGACATCCTGGGGGCCTCCCGGGAGAGGTGGGCGAGCATCTTGCAAAGGACATGGGGTTGGACTGGTCGAGCTGGGTCAAACCACCCCATGCAACGCCCCTAGGTGAGGCCCAGAGGGGGAGTGGTGACATCTAGTGCAGATGTGCTTTGTTTAATCTGCACAGCATTCACGGAAAAGTGAGTTAATACTTAAAAACTTGACAAAAAATCTGGACCTCTTAAACACAGAATTACCCTCTGACCCAGTAATCCTACTTCTGGGTACATACCCCAAAGAACTAAAAGCAGAACCTCCAACAGAAATATCTGTCCACCCATGCTCGTAGCAGCACTATTCACAATAGTGAAAGGGTGGAAGCGACCCCAAGTGTCCACAGATGGATGAACAGATACACAATGTGTGGTCCATCCGCACGATGGAATATTACTCAGCCTTAAAGAGGAAGGAAATCCCGACACAAGCTACAACACAGATGGACCTTGAGGACACTACACTGATTGAAATGAGCCAGTCACAGAAGGACAAATACTGCGTGATTCCCCTTACAGGAGGTCGCTAGTGTCGTCAAATTCATAGAGACAGAAAGAAGGATGGTGGAAGCCAGGGGACTGAGGGAGGGGATCAGGGGGGACAGAATTTCAGATTGGGAAGGTGAAAAATTTCTGGCAATGGATGATGGTGATGGTTGCACAGCAATGTGAATGTGCTTGATGCCATTGAACTGTGCACTTAAAAATGGTTAAAATGGTAAGTTTTATGCTAAGTATATTTTATCACAATAAAAATATTAGAATTTCTAAATTATCTTGAAAAGCAGAAAGATCTGGTAACATTGGGCCCACTTTCTTGCACGTCAATAGGCAGCAGAGAATGCTCTCTTAGGCAGAGCATTTGCCTCAGTCCCCACCCTTCCCTACTGTCTTCCTGTCACACAGGCTGAGTAGCAGTGGCCGCTTAGCACAAGTGGACTGCTGTTTATCTTGAAGTATCCACACCACTCTCTCAACAGCGGGAAAATCACAAAGTCAATAGGCGGGCAGCCTGATGTATTTTGTACAACCGCCTGCCTTTCTAACTTAGGTAGCTGGCCTGCTCCATCTAAGTTGGTAGTCCTCAAAGTGCGGCCCCGGGCCAAGCAGCATCGGCATCTTCTGAGAAGTCCTTCTGAAACCGAGAACTAAGGAGTTAAAAACATCTTCCCCAGAGTGAACACTTTGAGAGAAGCTTTGCTAACTGTGGCTGTGCATATTCAGCACGAGCCACTGTTGTTGAAAATTAACCGGGTCTTTCCGTCCCCCCTTAGGATTACGAGGGAGCTGCCCTTCCCAGAAATTCAAGGTCCAGGCATCAAGATTCAGTCCTTAAGGCCAAACTCAGGCTGGTGGGAAGGCGCCAACCAGCACGGCCACATGCTCCCCTCCCCACCTAAAACCCCACATAAAAGCCCCTAGCTTTTTCCCTTCCAGGAGGTGGATCTGAGTTCCAACGCCCACCCCCCCATCTGGCTGCCTTGTGATGATAGTAAATCTCTCTCCTTGCCACAAGTCTGCTGTTTCAGGTTTTTTCTCTCTCTCTTTTTTTTTTCCCTTGAGGAAGATTAGCCCTGAGCTAACTACTGCCAGTCCTCCTCTTTCTGCTGAGGAAGACTGGCCCTGAGCTAACATCCGTGCCCATCTTCCTCTACTTTATATGTGGGACGCCTACCACAGCATGGCGTGACAAGCAGTGCCATGTCTGCACCTGGGATCTGAACCGGTGAACCCCAGGCCGCCGAGAAGCAGAACGTGCGCACTTAACTGCTGCGCCACCAGGTTGGCTCCAGGTTTTTCCTCTTTATTGGCCCTCCTGTGTGGCACATAAATGAACGTGTGTTTGGGTTCAGTGACAATTCAAAAGACAAACCCGCGGCCCCTCCTGGCCCCGCAGAAGCGGACGCTCCGGGGTGGGCCTGGCCGTCTGCATTTTACCAAGACAGCGCCCGTGATTCTTATGCATGTTCCTCTTGGCCAAACCCCCGCTCTGAGCATTTGACTTGGGCAGCCCCGTGGTGGGGAGGGGACTGTCGGGGCCGGTGGCCGCCTTCGGGCTGACCAGTACCCGGTCGGGGGAACACCCCATCACTTACATCGTGCCGAAGTTTCCCGAGGATGGTGGGGAACACAGCCTGGGGTACTTCGGTTCCCGAAAAGCCCACCTTGCTGAAGCCAGAGCCGTAGTCGCAGATGAGGGGCACGTTCATCGTGCTGCGTGTGACCTGGATGGGGCTGCAGACGGGAGACCACAGGATTATTTGTGCCATTTGCAAGGCGCTCTCCGCGGGGCCGGCGCTGTGCCAGCCAGCCGTGGACTCAGGCTCCACGCTCATGGAGCTCACGGTGTGTCCTCGCTGCACCCAGAGCTGGGCCCTGCCGGGATGCGAGCCACTGTCTGGATGCTGGGCAGTTTGCTGGGATGGATGAGCTTTCAGATGGCCAGTTACACGTGGCTGCTCTGGACAAGGGAGACCCTGGGGAGAGGTCCTGGGCTAACACTTTGCTGTGACACAGCGTCCATGGGTTTCTGGCTTGTCCGTGACTTGCGTCACTGCGGGTCCCCTGAAGCAGCCCCTTCCCCATCCACTGAGGGAGGGCTTTGGGCGGGGGCCTGTGGGAGACACGAGGAGGAGCCAGTGGCCCTGGTGGCCCGCATGCTGATGGTCACAGCCAGGTCCCCTCCTCCCCAGCTCAGACACTGCCTCTCCTGGGCCACTTCCCTGGCCTCTTGGCCCCGGGTCAAAACCAATCTCTCCCTTGACTTCGCTTCCATACCACTCCTCCCATGTTTCTGCAAGTTTGAAAAACATGAGCGAAGATAAAGAAGAAAATCATAAACACCCACCGTCCGACCACCCACAGTTGCCCTGTGATATTTTAATATTTGTTTCAAATCTATTTCTGTGTATGGTTTTTACAAACTACCCTCAAAAGCAATAAATTCATTTTCTCTTTTGAATATTGCATCTTAACCAAACCCTTACCATGAGGAATGGTTTCTTCACCTTAAAAGCGATTTTCATTCTTTTTCAGATAAAGACTCCACGTTCATTATAGAAAAGAGAGAAAACTAGGAGGAAAAATAGAACCCTCCTCAGACACTACTAATCACGGATGGCTTTTGTTCACGTGAGGGGGTTACCCTTCCAGGCCTTACATACGACACAGGGGTCATTTTCTATCTGGCGCCTGTGAACAGCTGTGTGCGTACAATTCTAGCGGCAGCAGAGTGCCGTCTGGCTGTTTATCGTGTACACACATCACGTATAAAACATTATACATATAGGTAGAGAGATAGGTAGATAGATTAGTATTAGACGTTTCTCTGAGCACGGTATAGACACGTCATCACGTCATCAAGTATCACGTGGGAACATTTCCTGTTACTGCAATGTCTCACCACACCCATCCTCTGTGGTCCCCTCGGTCACCCCCTGTTGTGGGACACTTAGATCCAATCTTTCGGTTTTTGTAAATAACCTTGTGATGATCCTCCTTACTCGCCATTCTTTGTCCTGAATTCTGCATCGGCTCTTTATCGCCTGTATCCCTGGGATGATTGGTTGGAAGACCGAGACTTTTTAAAGGCTCCGTAAACATTTTGCCAAATTGCAGTCCAGGCATGGCGGTCAATTCACCGCAGCCCCATCAAGACACTGTGCACACTGTGCTCCCATAGTTTCCACGAGCCCGGGAGGCCATGGGCTTCTCCAGGCGGGGCATCCTGTCTCCCTCCCAGCACCCTGTCGCCACCGTCAGATGCTCAGCTCTCGTTGGCTGGATGGGCTTGGAATTCGGGTCTGTCCTCTGGGGGGGCTTCATAATCTCCCGCTTCGGGATTTCTGTGGGTGTCCTGTTCGTCTGTATGCCAGTGGCCTGTCTTCAGCTACGTGCAGCTTCTTGAAGGCAGAATCGTGGCCTGACGGGGCTGGGCTAAGGGTGAGCAATCCAGTCTGAGGTCGACAGGGCGCTTCAAGCGCGGGAAGCACGTGGAAGAACTTGCTTGTCTGTTTCTAGCTGAGCTGAGACAAAAATGATCATTATTACTATCATTATTATTGATCCTCTTGACATGCAAGGGATTTTCCCCAAGTCTCCCGACCAGCCGACAGCAGACCTGGGAGGGGATGTCTGAATGCTGTGCTCTGTCTACCATGGCTCAGTGCGTCTGGAGCAGAGATGAGTTAACTCTGGGGCTGGTCAAGGCATCTTCATTCTTCCGTTGGCACAATAGCCATTTGAGCTCAAAGTGACAAAAATATGATTTTTCCTTTGTTTTGTTTTAAATTATCTGATGCTGGTTCCCATTTCCACTTCTTTTGCAAAAGGAGGAAAATCAGGCCATGGGTAATTGCACTGCTCTTCCTGAGCCAGAAAATGTTCGTCTGGGATGCCTCGAGTGGGACGAAAACTGGTGAGAGCAGGGTGGGCGCTCGCCTCCAACGGGTTTGCTGGGCGCTGGGGACGAGGGCAGGGCTGCTGGACCCGGGATGCCCTGCTCGACGAAGGGCCACTTTCCACCTTTCCTCCAAATCCCTATTGATCTGGGATTTGCCTGTGAATCTAAATATTTAGCATCAACACACAGAAATAAAAATCCAAGGACAGGTGGGCAGGAAATGGGAAGGGAGGTGTTAGGCTGGTGAAGAGGAGAAGGTGTTTACCCACGTGACTGACGTGCAAAAGGAAGGGAGAGATGGAATTCCCCCCAAATCTCAGGAAGTGTGCTGAGCACAAAACCAGTGCCGGTGAGGACAGGTGACGAAAGGTCCAGAGAGGTGAAACGTGGAGCTACCCGTAACCCAGGTGCTGTCCCTCCGTGTCATTGCTTCTGCACGGAGCCACTCTGATGTGGTTAGCAGAGGCGGCATCTTCTCGTCCCAGCTGAGGCTTCCCCAGGCTAGTCCAGCAGCCTCCCAGAGCCTTTGCTTCCGTCTTCCCATCATCATCCTCTGTTGTTGGGATTCAGACTAGCGGGGCTCTAACGTCTCTGGCCCCCCGAGATGCCACATGCCTCGCCAGCCAACGAGACTATTCCACACCCGGCTACTGTGGTCAGGTATGGCCTGACCGGAATAATGGCCCCATCGTAACACCATGTCCTCATGCCCAGCCCCCGTGAACATGTGGCCTTACGTGGCAAAAAGGACTTTGCAGGTGTGATTAACTTAAGAATCATGAGATGGGAGCTCAGCCTGGATTATCCGGTGGGCACAATGAATCACAAGGGTCCTTATGAGGGAGGGAGAGAGTCAGAGAAAGGAGAGGTGACGATGGAAGCAGAGGGTCGGCGTCAGAGAGAGACTTGAAGGTGCTACCCTGCTGGCTTTGACGATGGAGGGAGGGGCCACATGGGATGGAGGAAGGAATGTGGGCAGCCTCTAGAAGCTGGAAAAGGAAAGGAAATGGATTCTCTCCTGGAGCTTGTGGAGGGAGCGTGGCCCGGCCAACACTTTGATTTTGGCCCTGTGAAATCCTCTTCAGACTTTTTGACCACCAGAACTGAAAGATCATAAAATTGCATTGTTTGAAGTCACTAAGTTTGTGGAAATTTGTTACATCTCCCCTTGACCCTTGGTCAAGAAGTGGGCATGTGACGCAAGCCAATGTCCCTTCTTGGGACGTTGGTGCCGGGGCGCTCAGGAAAGATACTCTATTCCCTCGAGTCATGAGCTGGGAGAAGTCTGTGAGGCTGGAGTCTCCCTAGGGCCAGGGCGTACCCAAGGAGGAAGGCAGCCCAGAGGAAAGCAGGGATGAGGCACGGAGAATGGAAGCTTCACAGTATCACTGAGCGCATATGTGAGCCCACCCCCCACTATTCAGTCCACTGAAGGGTCTGAATGGGTTTCTGTCACTTGCAGCCAAGAGATGCATAGCAGCTTGGCCCTCTTGTCCTTGGCCATTAGAATTTGGTTGGCTCCAGGGCCGAGGCAATCGTTGAAAATCAAAGAAATATGATTATCCTCTGAAGATGCTCTCATAGAGTCAGTTTATGGTGGACTAGATTGGGGACATTTAATGACGAATTGGGGACAATTGGTATTCATTCCGCAAATATTGATCAAGAGCCTGCTAGGGCTTGGGCACTGCTCTAAATCTGGAGACACCGTCAGACAAGTTTCTCCCTCCTGGGCCTTCTGGTCTACCTGGGGAGACAGCTATGATAACAGATTTTTTAAAAATTAAAAGTAGTTAATGGCTTTTCGATTGTGATAAGTGCTATCCTGGAAGTGTCTGCTATGGATGGTAATCGGAGGGGCCTCACCCCGTCCAGGCGGTGAGGGAAGTGTCTACATCGTGTCCTGGAAGACCTGAGCCTCACGGAATGCACGTAGGAACTGGGGAAATACAGCACATTCAACATTATGATTCAGGTCAAAATTTCACTGTCACTTTTCTGTCATTAGCCCCCTGTCTCACAAATGGACTCTGGGGATTTGCTGGGTCCCAAATAATTAATAGTCCAATAAGCATTTCCTAAAACGGTGTGAGAATTTCTCTTTCCCCAGAAACAGGTACCCAGATGAACGGCCATCAGTCCGTCTAGAGAAAGCTAGAGGAAGACACACAGGACACATGCATCTTGTCACCCCAGGGTCTTTTCTCACGTAGACCTGGCTTCCATCCATTCAAGGACTCTGGTCTCAAAATTGCGTGAGCTAGCCTGTCTTCACCAGATGTGAAATATTCTTTGCTGTGTAAAGAAGGTAAGAGGAGCAACTCTTGACATGATCCCTGGGACCCTTGATAACAACAGCCAGAGATCTCAGTGGGTCAGACCAACCGCAAAGCTGTTCTCATCACATCTGCCCTCTTGCCTGTCACGATAGCCGTGTCTGCATTTTGCGTCTGGTGGCTAACTGCCGCCACCTGAAATTGCCCACGTCAGTTTCGTTCCATGTATTGAGTCAACATTTTAAAATTTAAGCTTAATATTCCCTCCTTCTAAGCTGTTCAAAGCTCTCCGAAGCAGCCATCCTGCCCATTACATGGGCATTCCTTGTCCCCTCCATCTATGGCAGCAGCCAGCAGCACCCCCAGAATCCTTCAGTGAGTTCACGACCTTAGGGGATCACAGGTGAGCACACCGTTAGCTGTTGGCCAGCGTGTAACCTTCCTGAGCGTGAACGAAAGTCTCTCTTCCTGTTAGCCCATCGCAGCCTGAAAATAAATTCAGAACCCCGTGAGGATCCATTGTGAGCACTGCTTCTGATACCAGTAGGGTACCATTT